AAATTGAATAATAAAATTTTTTTTTTTTTGTTTAAAGAACAAATTAAGCGTTACTACTTTTTATATATAACATGTATGTATTAAGATTGTGACGAAATGCTTGATTTTCGAAATTTGAATTTGATGGATGCAGATATTCCATGTAACATAACCTTGCCAATCAGATTTATTTACTGAAATAACCCTATTTAGCATTGCGGTCTGGAAAGAGAAATTCCATCGTGGTTACGCAGGCCTTGATGTCGTTCGATCGTGCAAATATCTCGATGAACAGAGTCCGGCCGGACGTTACAAGATATTCTTATCTTTCCATTATCGCCCACGCCGGAGAAATAACGTTTCGCAGATCGCGACTAGAAATAATCGGGATCGATCTCTGTTCGAGAGATGTAACAAAGTGCCAACCGAAATGCAGCGCGTTCGTACAAGATGCGGAGCGTTCTGTTTGAAAATTTCGCGAAGCTTTTAAAACCGGCTTGCCGCGTTCGTATTATTGTTACCATGTTATCCTAAACGATGCGCTACTTTTATATTTCTTCCCGTCGTAAAATCGTTTGATTTATCACATCCAACTCGAAAACGATTGTTTTTGACCATTTCTTCGTTTCTTCTTTTCGAACTCGAACCGTTCTCCCCACCGTTCGTTGAAGCGAAACAAATATTTCTCTCAAGAGTAGCGAAAATTACTTCTGCTCGCTACGCTTGACGATGGGATTAATTTCGAAAAATTTTCACGAAATATTTCCTCTCAAGCAGTTTTCTCTCCGTAATGCCAATAAACACGTTCAGCCGGTCAATAGTTTTTACAAATCTGTTTGTATCAATTGGTCTTATATTGGTGGAACCACGAGGGAGCAGGGAAAGGGGAGTCGAGAATTTCATGCAAAGATACCTCGAAAAAACAACACAAGATGTTTTCGTTACGATTCGTTACGTTTATTTCGTAAAGTTTTCGTACTCGCACGACTCATCCTACGTTAATAAGTTTGCGATTATTATTACTATTTCGTAATATCAATATGTTTTTGTATATATAGATCTGTCTATTATACATATATAGCTTCA